AAGCAATGATTTTTAGAAGTGTACACTTTGAAGTATATTAAGTATATCTATACCAGGGTCGTCATTCATCTACCAAATTCATACGATGTTTATAGAGAACCAGAAGAGGCATCAATCTGAAATTTCGGGTACAGCCACTGCGTGATGTGATCTATACTTTTGAAATATTTTAAATTTGCTGTCACTTCCGGTTGAACCGGAAGTAACAATAACTTCGATTTTTTTATAGAACGCCTCGTATATCATTGCATTCTGCAAATTCTCCCTGATGAGCTGATTCCATCAATGTATCATACATGGAGTCTAGCGGGAATGATTACAGAGATATAGAGGGTGTTCAAAACCGAAATTTTTCAACTATTTGTATAGTAGGGTTGGACAAATTTATCGATAATTATCGATAATATTGATAATAATTCAGATAAAAAATTATCGGTTTATCAATGATATCGATAATATCGGTAATATCGCTGATACTATCTATAGTATCGATAATATTGATAAACCGATAATATCGGTATATTGTGATTATCGATAATCGATAATCCAAAATCACTATCCCCCACCCCTACCATATAGGATTTTTTTGTATGGAAACTATTCTATTGGTAAAAAGGCTTACAGCTTACAAGTGTACCTCAACTTGTGATTCACTATCCACTGACGTTTAATTGGAACAAATTCATGGTTTTCAAAATTCTGAATCTTGAACACCCTGTATTTGTTTCAGTTAACTGTCGGTAGGTAATAATTCAAAAGTTGAGAAAAGGGACCTGTAAGCCGTTTTGACCAATAATAAATAGTTTCGACAAAAAAAACCAAAGTTGAATAATCCCGATTTTGAACACCCTATTTATCTGTAATCATGTCCGCTAGACCCCAAGGTCCCCAAGTGTAATGTATCGATGAAATCAGCTGAATCGAACACCTTGTATATTTTGCAGCTATTTTTGATTATATTTTCGTGTTTTTATTTTTCAAATATACATAATATATGTACATGTAGCTATTCTGTATATTTTTTTACCGTTTTCGGAGATATACTGGGTGGCCCACGAGGTTTTGGCCAGTCGATATCTCGGAAACTATTTGAACTAAAATTTTGAAATTTGGTGGTTTCAAACAGTGGAATGTGGTGTTCATTTTTGATATTTTTGTCATGCTTTTTCTACTTATTTTGTTTCGTTTCCTATTATACTGTTGTTCTTCAATAAATTTTCCATTTTCCATTCATTTGACAGCTTATTTTGTCACCGTTTCACATGAAAACCATAACAATGATGGTATCGTAGTATTTGCATTAGAAAGGTCTTAACAAAAATGCAATAATATACAGGGTGTTCCATTTAAAATTTTGAAGTTGATATCACGTGATTGGAAATGCGATGTTGCAATACCAAAAATGGTCACCGCATTCCATTGTTCAAAACCACAAAAATTCAAAATAGTAGTTCAAATAGTTTTCGAGATATCGACTGGCCAAAACCTCGTGGGCCACCCTGTATATGAGGTGTATATATATATATATATAGTAAAAGATTGTAGGTTTAATCCGTTCCGTGAGTGGAATGTCAATTGGTGCAAGACAGTCTGTTTCAGCTCGCCAAGCATCATCAGTTGCACTAGGCCAATCGACAATCCACTCACGGACCGGTCACTATTTGAAGACCAACATGTAGTCTTCAACAGTGTGGAATACGGATGTTTGGTACAGTGCCTTCTTTACTCTGTCCTGTGGTCATCCACACTATCGAGGTGCACTCGGGGCACGTAGGTGTAGTAACAGAGATATCTGTACTCCTACGTCGCTGCCCGAAAAGCACGTTTCTGTCTAGTGCTAGTAGGTGGCACTGTACCAAACATCCGTATTCCGCACTGTTGAAGACTACATGTTGGTCTTCAAATAGTGACCGGTCCGTGAGTGGATTGTCGATTGGCCTGGTGCAACTGATGATGCTTGGCGAGCTGAAACAGACTGTCTTGCACCAATTGACATTCCACTCACGGAACGGATTAAACCTACAATCTTTTACTTCATACTCTTGCTCTGTGTTCATACACAATATCTTTCTTCGTCTATATATACAGGGTGTTTCATAATTGAATGTCAATATTCGAGGAGGCGATTCTTGGGTCCATTCCAAGAAGAAAGTTTCAAATGAACATATGACCTAAACGTCCTAACTTTTGAGATACTGGGTGATGAAGTTCTTAAAAATTAATATAGGAGACTACAATGAGAAGTTATAATTCCAAAATACCGAATACGAAGTTCATAAACTATGAATTGTATTTCTGAAAGTTGATCTAAAAAATAAAATCTCATTCTCTGCATTGTGATATTGTCATATTAACGATAATGCTATCATCATGTAGTGAAAAGCTTTAAATTTTTATGAGCGGAAACCGTGATTGACACAATTGTAGTGGTCAAATTTGCTCAGAAATGATTGGGAATTTCAGGAATGATTTCAATTTTGTTATCAATCAGTGGCGTACCATCAATGTCTGCCAAAATAGGTATGTGAAATTCCATACGAACGCCACTGGTGTCAACAAAAAGAATGTTGTGTACTAACTGATGCCTCTTGACACATAGAATATGTATGGCAAATTTCATCAAAATATCTGAAGTGGTATCACAGATATTAATGAAAAACTATCAATTTTTGAGAACTTCACCACCCTGTATCTCAAAAGTTAGGACGTTTAGGTCATACGTTCATATGAAACTTTTTTCTAGGAATCGGTCCAAGAATCGCTTCCCAAAATATTGACATGCAATTATGAAACTCCCTGTATATATATATAGAATATATATATATATATATATATATATATATATATATAGAACTTCACATTTTCTCCAGATACTCTCTGCGATGACCACGTCATTCTGACCATCTACCAATTTTGGATTTTCAAATGGAATAATACATTCTGTACATTATTCTATCACTGATTATGGGTTATACCATTACGATACCACAAATATACTGACAATATATCAACTTACTTGCCCTTATCACTAGTCTTATTATTAGTAATTAATTAAAGAAAAAATGTATTCAGATATTCAGTTTCTTTATTCATGATGTAAACTTAAATGCTTAAAGAATAATATTGTTTTTTCTGTGACGGGAAAAAAGTTTGGCATTTCATCTCTGTTGGCAGGTTATAAAATGTCACTTTTCATAAATTACTTTTTTCCCGTGGGAAAAAAGTGAGTACTTCTTTCCCGGATATATATCACATATATATACTCTGTTAATGGCTTTTGTTGTGCTATAGTTCCGAAAAATGAGTCAATAATACCGTCTCCGAGAAAGAACTGCAAGTCCTTTTATCTTCCATTCGACTTCGCGGTTTCGTATATTACTAAACAACTACTGAATTCGCAATTTTTCAAAATCAAATCACAGAATTGAACTGACAGAAGTGACATCAGATATTTGATTACTTCAAAAGAATGATAAAGATGTCTATAAAACGCAGGTGTCCCTACTGTTAAAAACTTGAAATTTCACGTCGATAATTTTCAGATTTCGAAATAATGTAATATCTCCTCAATATTGATTCGTCCTTCCTTCTGCCACAGAAAAAAATAGTGTATTATACACGGGAAAAATATTAGATTTTAGCTCACGGTTTTTTGTCTCCCTCCGCTACGCGTCGGGAGACAACACAACCTGGAGCTAAAATCTACTACTTTTTTCCCTTGTATAATAAATAACTAATTTTATGAATACCTATAATAGGTATAGGTATCCCAATTTTATTTTTTCATTTTATGGCCTCAATCTCCAAATCCTCATATCAGTATTCAAAGTGTTAGTTTTGTGTTATTAGACTTTTAATAACATGTGTTGTCAGCCGCGCGTCGCTATAGGTGATGAGCACAGGTGATGTTTGCCCGCGTCCGCGTCTCGCTTGGCGCGATTCTCCCACTACGTTGTTTATACTAATAATTCCTTGCGCTAGACGCTAGTTTTCAATAGCAATGCAGACGTGGTCGATAGAGCATCGCGTGTTTGTGTACAACACCCTTATTGAAACGGGCCGTTCCGTCATTCAAACTCAGAGACGGTTCCGGAATCATTTCAACGTTGGCCGCCATGGTCGTGTTCCGAAGGTTGAAACAATAATGAAGTGGGTGAATAACTCTCAATGAACAGGTTGATTGAGACTGGAACTGCACGAGGTGGTGAACGAACGGTACGAACCCCGGAAAACATTGAAAGAGTGTGTCAAGCAGTTGAAACGAGCCCACGTCGTTCGGCTGTGCGATCGAACCGATCAGTTCGCCGGATTTCAGATTTGGACCTGTATTCTCGTCCATATAAGCTGATGAATGTCCAATTGCAGCAAAACGACTGCGGAAGACGATTCAGATTTGCAGAAACAATGTTGGCGAACATTACTGATGATATTGTTTTGATTATGAGTGACAAAGCCTATTTTCATTTGTCAGGAGTGGTGAACAAGCAGAAAATTAGGTATTGGGCTTCTGTAAATCCACATTATCTTCATGAAAAACCTTTACACAGCGACAAATTGACTGTTTGGTGTGGCATTAGTCGAAACTTCATTATTGGCCCTTACTTTTCCTGAGAAAACGGTCGAATCGTCACTGTCAATACAGATCGTTACCTAAGGATGCTGCGTGAGTTTTATCTGCCACAATTGAGAAGACAACGTATCAACCTCAACACAGTATCGTTTCTGTTATATTATAATATATTTATTATTTAGGAACCTATGATATAAGTAAAATAGGAGCATCTGTGGTTGTTGATTGTGATTGATTTGTCAATTAAAGATTCATATGAAGATACAGTTTTTGAGAATAAAATGATAATAATTATAACATGGCACAGTCGATGCAGTAAGAACCGTTAAAAGGAATATTGACTATGGCTTTGAGTTTCAATATTCCACCACCTCTCCAGCTGTATGGAAATTTGAACGAGAATTGGTTAAGTTTCAAACAAGCTTTTCAGATATATCTTGTCGCATCTGCCTTTGACAAAGAAACCGAAGAGAGGCAAGTAGCAATATTTCTCAATGTTGTTGTACAAGAATCAGTGCAGTTATTCAATTCATTGAAGTTGAAGGATGAGGAGGAGAAGAAAGACATCGATGAAGTTCAAAAAGCTCTTGAAGAATACCGTTCACCAAAAGGGAATATATTACATTCAAGATTCCTTTTCTACAGTAGAAAACATGATGAAATGGAACCATTTGATTCATACCTAATGGACATAAGGAAGCTGTGTGAAGATTGTGAATCCAAAGATTCAGATGACATGCTCAGGGATAAAGTGGTTCTGGATTCAAGAGGTCGTGAATAACAACCAAAGCTAATAAAGAGAGGGTCAGTTACTTTGAAAGAGGCTATAGATTAGCTGAATTAGAAAACAAACGAAGGAAGGTTAGTTTATTTCTAATAATTTTGAAACAAGCAATTTGTCTGGTTTCTGTTCATTTGTTATTTTATTCATTCATTTATTCCTTCCTTTAGTTCACTGATGGCAGGGTATGAAGTAGAAATGATTGATTTGTAAGTTTAACTATGATCAACTGTTATATTATTTTTTTATATAATAGCAAATGATAATGATGAGGAGGCATTAATGATGATCCTGAATGATCCGTGAGTATATGATTTCAATCATCCTAAGAAAAAATCATTCTTCATCGTTTTCAGATCAGTTATCGATGATATTATACAGTGCCTTGGAATGAAATGAGATAGCAGGTAGCGGGTTCGAAATGTATATAATATCTATATAATATGTAGAAATGTCAAACAGAATTTAGAATAGTGAATAAGATGTCAGCCAGAAAATCTGTTTCTGTGTTTTCATTTTTGTCTTCATATTATTCTATATGTACCCACGAGAGGAGGAGTATGAGTTTCAATTTTCGCATCATACCTACTGTTACCTTAACTGGGGCTATACTTAAAGTTCCAACAAATAGTCTTTACATTAGATACTTAAATTTGAGGAAAAATTATATCAAGCTATTGAAATATTCCAAGTTTTCTGTAACTACTATATGACTGCATAAAATACTGGTCTACGATCCAAGACAGTGAAAACAAGAAAGATTTAATGTGCACCACTATACTGCCCCTTTGTAACAACCAAGTCAATCTGATAACATATTTAGTATGGCAACTTATCGTGGAGGCTTTTTGACTCGTTTAGCTGACAAGAGAGGATATTCTTCGCCAGACTCGATCAAGAGCAGTGCGGGAATAAAAGGGAGGGATGTACGAAAACAAGATCAAGAGATCTATATCGTGATTAACAAGACGTTATCTAGAGCGGCTATGAATCTGATTCTTTCCTATTACGTTGCAAGGTTTTACACCGAGGAGGGACATCACGACATCAACCGATATCGCCTGACTTGTGCTGTAGCCGGTATCATAGGTAATAGTTGCGATTATAACGCCATAACCCCGTGGCAAAACATGAAGAACGCTTTTAAGACGACAGGAATCAATCTAATAATAAATCCGATAACATTTAGAGAGTTCAGGGTCCATGCAGATCAAGACGAACGGTTAAGGGAGTTCCTCGCAAATTGGGAAGATGACCAAGGCTACATGTTAGGATCTACCCAACTTCCGCTGATTTATGCCGGGGCTATTATATTGGCTATGTTTGAAAACTTAAACACTAATAACTACATTCCATGGTTCAAAAAGAGAATAGAAACATTTGCTGGAACACTAGGAGATGATTATACTCCTCAGAACACCAGTGATGGAACTTTACCAGAGCTATTCCAACTCCAACGTCTCCAAGGGATGGCCTCTGCATACCATGAGATGAAAAAGCGCTTCTACTTTGAGATTGTGGCCATTGGCCAACAACCAACAACCGATTGTGCACTGGTGTTTGCAGAGGTACACCATCTTCTTCGTGGTCATGAGATCAACCACTTGACCATGATAGACACTTTCATATTGGAGCAATAACCGGAACTACTAGAGACTCCGTTGTTGAGAGGATTGAAAGAACGATACGCGGCTGCTATTAAAGAACTCAAGAAATACAAGAAAGAAGACATGATGTACGTTAAAATCTTAGCCACTAAGGATGATTGCGCGATGCTCAACGGAAGGGTGTTCTCACAAGCTACAATCGTAGCTAGTGCCATCGCACAATTCGTCAATTCAACATATAAAAGCTATAATCAGAGTAGTAGCGAGTCGAGTTTAAGAACTCGCAGTATCATTACAAACTATCTCATCAACAGGACAAGCTTGTCGGCTCTCGCAGCTGGTGAAAACGATATGGAGAATATGGGCCCAACTGAAAAATAACTTTTCCTAGAACGAACAATAGCTCAAGTAAAAGAGCAGTGGGTGAATGATGAAGTTGAGGTTTTGAAGAAGGGCACCTTAGTTATTCCTACAGGGAAAGAATTAAAGTGAATTAATGGATTAGAAAAAAAAAAAAACCGTGTGGGGGTCGGATTAGAATAACCCCACGGTAACTCCTGCCTGTCGTAGAAGGCGACTAAAAGGACGCCAATAGGTGGAAGATGGTTAACGCCATCGCCCGGTGCGATACCACCACATCAACCATAGACACTGTGAAATGGGTATACCTACCCGTGTTTCAGTAGCTGGTTGATGTTCCGGCCAACCCAACCCAACCCAATTTCCTTTTCCTTCCAAGCCAACCTCCCTTCTTTATACAGAATAAGCGATGATGAGTTCTCCTCAAGTAAAATTATCCGGAAGTAAAATACCTCTCCATTCGGATTTCCGGGCGAGAGGTGCTAGAGGGGGTTCACCATCGGCTGAAAAAGTCCCCAAGATAGACCTATGTAACATCCGAGGTCTAAGTAAGAACATCAACGATGTCCATCGACACCTTCAAATTGAAAAGCCAGACATATTGACTCTTACTGGGACACAGGTCAATTCATCCACCAATACGACCTATCTGCTCTGTCCTGGGTACAAACTCCACACACGTTTCAGATTCAAGGGAGGTCTCTGCCTCTACTCTAAAACGAATCTCTCATGTCAACGAGAAAAAACTTTGGAACCAAATAAGTTTGATGTCATGTGGTTCAAACTCGATAGCCAGAAACAGACCAAATACCTTTGTTGTCTCTACTTATCACCAAATGATCCATCCTATGAAGAGCTCTTCGAATTCTTGTCTCTGAAGCTTGACCATATTCAACAGAACCATCCAGCAGCAGAAATCATCATCATGGGCGATTTCAATGTACACAACACTGCTTGGCCCGTACATTCTAACAGAACGGATGAAGCTGGGCGACAAGCCGCAGCTTTCGCCATCACTTACGGCTTAGAGCAGCTTATCAAAGAACCCACACGAATTCCCGATGCCAATAACCATTCAGCTAACATACTTGACTTATTCCTCACTAATAATTCAGCACCCTACACCATAGAAGTACGATCTCCACTTGGCAATTCTGACCACACACTCATCTCCACAACCTGCCCATTTTCATTCCATCAACTGCTCCGGCACCCCCACGTCTTATATGGCATTACGATTCAGGAGATTGGGACGGTCTCCGCATGTTTTTCTCCGAGTTTCCTTGGCATAGAGTATGCTTTGACTCTGAGGACCCTTCACAGTGTGCTGCGGAAATATCCGAGATCATCATGCTCGGAATGGAAACATACATTCCTCAATTTTTCGAAAAGATCATCACCTTCGAAACCCTGGTTCAACAAAAACTGTTCTAGAACTGTTGCCTTGAAACAAACCCTAACCTCGCGACTAGAGCAGAATACGTTGATGCCAGGAATAACTGCAGCAAAATAATAGATGCTTCTAAAGAAACATACAATGCCAAGATAAAATCGAAACTCATAGTGCCCCAATGGCTCCCGTTCGTTTTGGTCCCTTGCTAAAGCGGTCGGAAGAAATTTCACCAATAGTTCATTTCCACCACTGTCCAAATCCGACGGCACATTAGCAACAACATCGCAGGAGAAAGCAAATATTTTTGCAGAGATGTTCGCAGCAAACTCTACTTTAGATTCCCAAGGAAAAGTGCCGCCAGACATTCCACCCGTTGAGAGTCGAATGCCCGAAATCGTCTTCCGTCAACGCACCATCAGACGAATTTTGCTTGGTCTCAAAACGAATAAGGCTAACGGTCCTGATGTAATTCCACCCATTATCCTCTAAAAATGTGCACCCCAGAGTCAACACCGATTCTCTGCAAATTGTTTACTGTCTCGTACAGGTCGGGTATTTTTCCATCATGCTGGAAGACAGCTAGAGTCCAACCAATCCCCAAAAAAGGGAATAAGAACCTGCCCAATAACTACAGGCCCATTGCCCTGTTATCAGTAATCTCCAAAGTGATGGAGAAAGCCATCAATATTGAGCTTACCAAATATCTAGAGAATCTCAGGAATCATCAATAATAGACAATACGGCTTTCGCCACCGAAGATCTACTGGAGATCTACTCGCCTACGTTACCCATTTATGGCAAGCTTCATTAGAAAAACACGGGGAATCTCTAGCTGTCGCGTTGGGCATATCGAAAGCATTCGACCGAGTTTGGCACGAAGGACTCCTCCACAAACCACCATCATACGGCTTACCACCTCAGCTATGCCATCTCTTATCGAGTTTTCTTTCAGGCAGATCGCTTCACGTGGTGGTGGACGGTGTATCGTCTGATACCATTGGCATCAATTCCGGCGTTCCACAAGGATCAATTTTGGCACCAACTTTATTCCTGCTTCATATCAATGATCTGTTGGGAGTAACAACTCGCCCCATCCACAGCTTTGCAGATGATAGTACCCTCCATACTGCGTTCTCTTCCAGAATTCCCATTTCTTCCCAGGAAACTTAGAACTCACGGCGCAGGCAGGTCAATGCTGTCAATGAAGATCTTGCTGAAATCACAGCCTGGGGAACCAACAACCTAGTTGAATTCAACGCCACCAAAACTCAAGCCTTCATTTTCTCTAGAAAGGCGGAACTCAGTATGCCCGATATTGTAATGTCTGGCTCCACCATCCCCACCAAGCCCACCATATCTATGCTCGGTATTTCCATCAGCAACACTCTTTCATGGGATAATCATGTCAGATCCATCGCAAAAGCTGCTTCGCAAAAACTCGGATTCTTGTTTCGTGCGAAAAGCTACTTTACACCTCAACAGCTTCTAATGATCTACAAAGCGCAGATACGGCCTGTTCTAGAATACTGTTCCCACATATGGGGTTCAGCACCAAAACATACGCTGATGCTCTTAGATTCCATCCAGAGAAGAGCCATTCGCCTGGTGGGTGACGCCACACTCACTTACTCTTTGACATCATTGGAACGCCGTAGAAAGGTCGACGACCTTTCACTTTTCTATCGATACTTCCACGAGAAATGTTCTTCGGAAATCTCTGCTATCATCCCTTCACTAGCAATACCAATTAGACGAACTAGACAAGCCCAGTCAGCACATCCTTTTGTTGTCAACCTCGAAAGATGTCGAACAGCACTTTATCAAGACTCCTTCATCCATAGAACGGCTAGGCTCTGGAATTCATTGCCTGTGGAAGTATTCCCAACAACATATAATCTCCAAAAGTTCAAAAAAAATTCCAATACCTACCTCCTGTCCCTATCCTCCCTAGGAACGCACGATGTTCTTTGAACATTAAAGGGATTCCCTTTCGTGCGCTCCAAGCGATAAAAAAAAAGTAGTAGCACACAGCCGACTGCTCCGTGGGTTCTCTGATAGATAGCTACTGGGTTCGGCCAATGAAACCACTATTATCAAGTTTTACTAGTAGAACTTCATTATATCCTTCTCGGTCCATTTGTCCAGCCCGCTGGACACCTTTCTCATAATTTTACTACGGTATTAATGCAACAGAGGATCGTTTGCGGCCCAGTGTGCAGCAGACTGAACCGTATTCTATGCGTGGAAAAATATTGTTGATATATTTGGCAACACCGGTTCGCCGTCAGTTTGTTTACATCAGTTCATGTGTTTGCATGTTAGTCATGGCTTCTCGACAGAAATATGGTAAGTTTTATGTTTTCAATGAATATTCCGAAGAACAATCAAATGTAGATCAACAATGAACTATATTACAGTGTTGTGTTATCAATATTATGTAATTTTGATGATAAGCATGTTTACACTCGCCCTCTGAAGTCAGTGTACAGTATTTTGGACATTGGGCCTCACTTCGGATATTGTTTCAATTTTTTGAAGTGTGGCGAAAATGATGACTTTTTTCAATTTTGTTTACGTGATTATACTTTTTTTTGTTTTCAGACAGTAATCGCCTACTTGCAGATGCTGACTTGGAAGAAATTTTGAACAATAGTGATTTTTATCTGAATGACGATGAGATCGAAGCGGAGTTTTCTCAAGAGCAAGATGAAGTGGAAACTTTGGACGTGGAAAACCAACAACACGTCGATGACGAAGAAGGTGAGTCGGTTCAGTCTGACGAAGCTGAATATTCAGATGGGGGTGTGCCTTTGTCCGTACTATGACAAAAGTTACTTGAGGAAAACCAGAGAAAAGTAAATGCCAGGGCTGAAAACTGGGCATGAGGTGCTTTTGCTTTGAAATCAAGACTTTGTGTATTTAGATTCAGAATGGAATTTGAAGGAAGAACGTGAATTCTGGACACCACTTGATTATTTTTCGCAATACTTTCCTGAAGAGTTCTGGCAAAATTTGTCAATTCAAAGTAATATCCGCGCTATGCAGGCCAATGAAAAAAAAATCATTGAAATCCACGACGCAAGAATATCGTGTACTTACTGGAATGAATATTCTGATGGGGATATTTGGGCTACCAAGATTAAGACTCTATTTTATGAAAGGTATGGAAATACCTGTCATCACTCAGGACAGAATATTCAAATTGAGGAATTTTCCACATTTTGTTGATAACCTCACAGTTCAAGATGACATAAAAAAATCGAAAAGACTCTGGAAAGTACAGCCAATAATTGAAACTGTCCGCAAAATATGTATTTCTTTACCTAGAACTGAAGAACTGTCAATTGATGAACAAATGATCCCATTCAATAACAAGTTACAATCGGTCCATGGGAGGAGTAGATCTTTGTGATGGATTTATTGCCTACTATCGCATTTCAATGCATACCAAAAAGTGGCCAGTACGAGTATTCTGGCATTTTGTTGATTTGGCTATCACTAATTCATGGATTGAATACCGCCGGGACTGTTTTGCAAGGGCAGACAGGAAAACTTCTATCATGGATTTACTCGAATTCAAAATTTATGTTGGTAGATCCCTTGCACTTGGAGGACGAACCAAAAAAGA